ATCACAACACCTGGGTCCTCTCACAGCTGCTGAATACGATCTGTCAGCCCTTGAATCCATGCTCTCATTCTTACTAGAAGTTCCCTGACAATAATGGAAACCTTCAATAGAAGAAGGTTTTGTAAGAGATAATTTAGGTATTATTGTAAAACCATGAAATTCCTGTATATATGTAATAAGCAGAATGGGTCAATAATAATTCTACTTCATATAGCAGCAAGTACATTCAGAAAAATATTCAAATTTACCTTGAGCACTGACTGAGCAAATACAGCAAGGCTCTATAAATCTGCTGTAGATTATATGCAGATTATTAGCTGACCACAGAACAATTCAGACAATATGGTCACTGACATACTGCTGTACAGGGACATAGACTTTTAATATAATTTAGAATCAGAATCAGAGTCACTTTGTTTCGAAATTTGTCATTGAACATGGTTCAACTGCGTGTAATGCTGAATTAACTCAATTTTCACACACATACAGTCTATGTGTGTCCTTATGTATGCATATAAGATTTATAAGTATATATGTAACTTTACAGACACTGCTACACCTCCTCCGGACAAGGAACAGAGGGGAGAGAGGAAACTGGGCTCCCTTTACAGAAACTCCCTCCCCCCCGCAAGACCACTCCTGCAACTCCATGCATCAGCATCATATCTAGAAAGACACTGCGATACTGGCTTCCAAACTGCCAGGCACTGGCTGAAAGTCAGGAGGGGCCCCGTTCATCACACTGCACCGTGTAGGACTGTCCTTCAGGTAAATGCAACTCAGTGATTTTACCAGGGTAAATCACCAAAGTAATTACAGTTCACTGTCCTTTAGGTAGTCAAAAGCCCCCTTTAAAGTCTGCATCTTAAAGATAATCATCATTTAGACAGTGTTGCTAATCATCCGGTGGCAAGATCACTGAGGTCACGGTCAATGTGAAAAGGTTTTCAACAGCAGCTGCGTTGAAACTAGCAGCTGTTAAACATCCATGAGTTAGTTCAGAGAAACAGTTCTGCTGTGTGTCTAGGATGGACCTAAAGATGTTACAACATACAACCCAGAGATCCCCAGAAGGTCGCCGGTTCAAACCCAGCCTCAGCACGTCTGTGGGTCCTTGAGAAAGGCCCTGAACCCCCAGCTCCCTGGGCGCCGCTACGGGTGGCTGCCCTTCACAGACAGCTTACTCAACAAAAAAGAGCAAGTTGAGGGAGGCGTAAAGACAATTTCCCCATGGGGATCAATAAAGTATCGATTATTATTATTAAATGCTTACCTGTACAAACAGTGTAAAAAAAGGGTGCGCTGCACACTAGCTCCAGAATAGTGACCAATTGCATCTTTCTGTCATCCAGGAGACTATGGACAAAATTCCCAGATGGAAAGAAAACGAGCCACCAAACAGCATCGACTCTGAAAAAAGCCGGTTCTCCATGATGGAACAACTATTGTTCTGCAATTTCTTGAGCACCTTAGGCAGTCGCTCATATAATCCCAGCTGTTTGTTCATGGGAGAGCTTGCGCCTGTTATTTACACTACCTACCAGTAATCGAGTCATCCGAACCTGGCAGAAGCCTCATTGGGCAACCCGGGAGACATCGCACCCAGACCTGCTGACCCACACTCCACAGGAGGCAGACAGAGATGGCAGTCTGTAAGATGACTGCTGACTCATCCATGCCTTCAACTACAAAGACAGACTGAACATCATTCAGGCAACTTTAACTGGTGACATTTGTACATTTGGTGCTGAAAATCCCACGGTGTCACGGTGTTAGGCATTTCCTCAGTGTATATGATGATCTTCGCTGAGCCTCCCTTTCAGACTTAGAAGATACAAGCCATATATTCAGGACGGGATTAGACAAGAAGAGACGGAAAGCTGGCAGGCATTACTTAATGTATACAATTTCCTGCTATATATACAGTAGAGGAGGCTAGTCACATTACATCATTTTCCTATGTGCGCGCACACACACACAAACACACCTGCAAAGAAATTGGTGTATGGGGTGGAGGTGTATTCAATAGCGAGGGCAGAGCTCGAGGACTGAACAAACTGAGATTTATTTTTATTTTTTTTAAATAAAGAAGTAGATCAACTGATCATTTAAGGTTACAAAAAATGCCCAAGAAAATATCTCCTGGAAATGTATGTCCTTCATAAACAACCACACAAACTGACACTAACTGACACTAACTGACGCTAACTGACACAAACTGACACTAACTGACACTAACTGACACTAACTCCCTGACCTCCCACTTGCCTCCCAAACCCTCCCAGCTGGTTCTATTTATCGCTAACAATATAATTGGCCAAATTAGTGCCAGTTAGACTTAATTAAATGGGGTTTCTATTGGCAAAGGGCTGGTGATAAATTGCCATGGTAACGCAAAAATCACCCGAACACAGCGCAGTGCCGCTGCTCTGCTTCCTGCCAGTTTATAAAATGCACACATCACTCCGTATCTTCCATTACACCCCTAAAATTATTGTAAATATTCAAAATTTCAATTATTTTTTTTTTTCATCCCTTTTCTTATGTCCTAACTGATAGACAAGGCGCACTGAAGAAATAATTAGACACCATAATGGCAGCGCTGCATTATCTGTGCAATGTGCCAGAGAAAAATAAATCAACATAAGACCTGGGGGGAGGGGGGGTTACAATTTAGGTTAGCTCAGGCCCCTTTTTAGCAGAGGCCCCTGGCTTTCAGCTCAGGTGAACCCATGCATTAAAGTGCCCCTGCTTCACATATACTTCTTATGGATAGTAGGTCTTCCTCCATATCTGCTTTCCTGTTTCTCTTGATGAGCAGCTCTATCAATTGTATTGTATTGTACAATAGGCAGGCTCACACAATGCTCGTTCTTTTTTAATATCAAATTTACCACCAAGCTACTGAGAGTGTAAGCGCCCCCATGAATGATCAGCTCAGAATTATCACCTGTGACATTTTTATATTGCTTTATCTCCTGATGCTGTCACATAAAATATCAAATCCTACCAAGACTGTGAAAAGTGTGGACAACCTGCCAATACAAGTAGCTTCCGCTGTCTGTTTTTCTTTACATAGCTGTTTAAAATTACAGGCATGGTAATAAAGATTGACACATATCCTAGATATTTCATAAAGTTATGCAGTGTTTATGCTATATATGAAGAATATATCGAAGTGAAGCTATTATTATTAACTATTATAATCAACATCTCTAGCATACTCAAAGGTAGCCTGTAACTGCTGAATATACAGAAGTGGATAGTTCAGGTCCATAAAGTAAAAATCCAGACCAAGATTTTGTTTTAACCAACCACTTAAGTACTCCGTGGCTATGGCTGTTTATACTCGAATGGTTGGTTGAAACAAAATCTTGGTCTGGATTTTTCTTTCTGGAGCTGCATGTGTGTGAATGTGGCAACAGAAAAGAGACACTCAGGCAGACAGACGCGCGGCTGCTTGGGGCAAGAGAGATGCTCACCTTGTTAACAGTTAACAAGGCAGAGACTTCAGTCATGCAGCTGAGGAAATAAGGGCATTACTGCCTTTTATCCATGACAAAGCACATTTATGACATCCCCTCAATTTACTGTGAGATCACAATAACTAGATGTATGTAGCTGGAGGTACGACTATCCATTCTGTGACAGCTGAGAGTCCCTGGGTGTCATTGTGGAGCCCAGCTGTGATAGTGCTGCATGACATTGCTGACCCACCTCGCCCACCGAAATGGATATACTGGTTTGGGTGGATCACTAATTTGCAGTGATACAGAGGTCCATCCTTGAACCATCTGCAACACACTGACAAGTGATAAGTGAGAAGTTTACACTTCGCGGTGATTTATGAAATGCCGGCTGGATTACAGACAAGCAAGAGAAAGCAACAGGAGCTCATGAATCACATTCAAGGCTGGCAGTGCGATGCACTGGGCAGATGAATGAAGCCGTCGCACTGGTGTGCGTCCAAACAATGCTGAAAGAAGGCAACGGGGAACATTTCAGGGTGCCACTATTTCCCTGTTACCGGCTTGGTTCTTAGTCTTTCTACTGACCACTAAGTAGACTAGGGTGTTTCAAATAAGCAAATTGTTTGTATGCTTTGTATATTCCACTCTCAACAGTGCCTGTGTCTGTATACAACGTCAGTGTTGACCTACTGTTGCTATGAAGAGGGTGGAGGGAGAGAATAACGTCACCAGTATTCCATCACCGTCCCAGAGCGCCCCAGCCGTAAGCGTCAGACCTCGATGACCTCTATAATCCCGCGGCACCCTGCCTCATGCGAAGCGTGGTCATCGGCGCAGCATGACGTAAGTCTACTGGGGCAGCAAGCGTCACGCTAACCTATCCCCTGGTGGGTTTTTTTTTTGAGAACTACAGCACCCAATGCCAGGATTCTCCATCTCACACACACAATCCTGCACACCGCAGCGATAACGCTTTCCAGAGTGCTGAGCGGTCATTTTTGTGTGCCTGTCCCTTTAAGGCTCTGGAGGATATTATGTATACATTCATCACCACACAGATATCTCCCATTGTAAACTGTGGAAACTCTGATTGGTCAGAATGAGGGATTAACATCAGTTCCCCACACATGACAGTCTAGTTTACGGGAGTTGAAAACAAACATCTGGGACTAGCTGTCTCCCTACTGTCTCTGATTTGTTGCAGGCTGCTCTGAGAGGGAACGCTCAAGTGGCACCTGCTCAGGAATGTACAGCCAGCCCTTTAATCTCACCTTCATATTTATCTCCTTTCAACTGGTCACTCCATTAGAATAAATATCACACAATCTGGAAACCAGCAGCACAGGGACTTCAAGAGTCGTTTTAAATGTAAAATCAAAAAAGGTGAAGGCCGCTATTTATCCGCTAGACTTATAGTAGACTAAATGAACTTAGCAAACCATATCATGGAACACAGATGCATGAAACCCAGAGCAGAATCATAAACAGTCCGTGTTTGATCTCAGGCCCATCGTCTGTGGGCTGTCCTACCATCTTTCCTGTAGAGGGTGATCTCCACCTTCCGCTCCACGGAACCCAGCAGCGCCTGGGCCATCTGGACGGCGGCGAGCTTCTTGGTGTGCGGTCCATACAAGAAATTGCAGGTGCACGGTTTCTGCATGACCTCGGCACGCGTGTAGCCGCACATCACGCAGAAGCCGTCGTTGCAGAAGATGATGGCGCAGTTCTCCACGCGGGCATTGGCGATGATGAACTTGCGATCTGCAGGGTGTGGGGGTGGGGGATTGAATGAAAAGACCTATGTTAGTGACTCATGGAATCTGAATTTAGCCCCCTTTTGCCACAGTACTGGTGTGGCAGGTAATACCAATAACCAGAAACCGTCATTCTCTAGTCAACTTCTAGACATTCCGCATATATGCTGAATTAGACTCCTAACACAATTGATGACGGGGGGGGGGGGGTTCCATAATACAGATCTGTAACAATCACTCTAGTTGACTACATTTGAAAACTGGCCAATTGTTCTAGCCACTATATCTGCTAAATGCATCACGGCGTGTGGGCAATGTTTGGTTATGCAGATTAGGACTTTATGTCCGTGATCGGAAGGTCACAGTCCAAATCCTGATGGGCCCTTGGCTAAAACCATAAACCCCAATTGTTCCAAGAATACTGGATGATCCCTGTTCTCCAATCCTCACTCATTTGTCAGATTTGGACAAAAGCATCTGCTAAATACATAAATCGCATCCTATGCTGCATTATACAATAAACTGTTAAGTCTTGTGCTCAGGTTCTAGAAGAATTCAACAGTGAACAGGTCTACTTTATTTGCCCATACTGTAATTTTTGCAAATTGTACCTGCAAAATGAGTCATGAATTGTGTAGTTTAATGCAAACAGTTCCATTAAATTAGAACATCTGCCCATCTTCCATTCTGTCGTAGCTTTTTGCCGTGCTTGAAGGCCTGACTAGTTGTTTCTCAGCGGTCACTGGTGGGACATTTGGGGCATTTTAGAAGTACAGATCCTATCAGATTCCTGAGTCAAACATTACACAGTCTTTCCTTTTTCTTTATCTGGGGACAGCTGAAATTCACAACTAGAGTATTAGTTATACGTTGTGTAAGTTAAAAATTATTAAAACTTCTGTGAAATCTTACAAGGGCAGTAGTTACTTTATGTCCATCTAACTACACGTGAAACACACCTTTAAATATTCAAAGCAGGCTGCTACCATTTATTATGTTTCAGTGGCTTGCAGATTCAATCTCTTCTCTCCTTTACATATTAAACATTGTGCATTTGCGATTTCCATACTGCTGCGGAATAGATATATCAGCAGCACTTCAAGGTCTTGCCCAGGAAGAGAACAGGCTCCTGGATTGAACAACCCCCCCCCCCCCAACAAATTGTTTTGATGTGTGACCCCTAAGTTCACTTATAGGACAGTTGGCACCGTCTGTATCTGTGTACCACGGGACCTTCAAGAATTGCTCAGGTTGACTGAGTTTTTTTTGAGTAATTAATGCTAGTTTTAATTAACAAGAGTTATAAATAACTTTGAAGGCCTGACATTTATGTATGCAGCATCACTATACAACTGAAGTCATTTTTAGAAACTCATCTGATAGTTGAAGTCAGTATCCTAGTTAAGTAATCAAACGATCAGCCTGGCGTTAAACGTGCAGTCTTGGGTGAGAATAAGGGATTTCCTCAGGGGGCGATCATCATTGACACACTTTTATTTTAGCATCTCACTCACGAAATTGACCCAATATTCCACATTCTATTTTCATAATGCATGTTGGTGCGGAAAACCACGCGGAGTTCACCACTATTCCTGGAAGCATGGCTGGCATATTATTGCGTCGTGTTGGATGAGAATGATTTTTGAATCCGCTCTAGCTTTGCCGTCCGGGAGATGACGGCAGTGGGTATGATGTCCATATGGAACTGTGCACACTTACACCATAATAAGATGTTTAAGAGACGGGGGAATGAACGATTACCTGAAGCTCGCAGAAGCACAAGTTCTAAATAATAAAACAGCAACTTACTAATTTAAGCGCACAGTTTAACTGCAGAAAAGCAGCCTCCCGTGACCGTGGAAGCAAGATACTAGGTGAACACATTGACAAATGAGTTTACAAGGCAGACAAAAGGAATGGAGGTTATGGTCAAAGGTAGGAGAAGGTAACTAAAAGCAGACATCCAGGACAGTGCAGCAGCTTCGGAAATCTCTTACGTCATAAAAGTGTTCTCTCTATAAAATGTTATAAAAAATCATTTGAAATGCAGACAAAATAATTCAGTGGATGAAGCTGCTGTCACAGGCAATGAACCAATCATATTTTTCACTGTTTGGCACAGGGATTGCAGAAAACAAATGGCAACTACAATGAATGATAATGAAAGGCTCACAGCTTTTAAGCTTTGGACTGAAGGTCTCACATGAACTATGTAGTGCAGGGTTTCCCAATCCGGTCCATGTTTTTGCTCCCTCCCTGTTCCCAAAGCAGGGAGGGAGCAAAATGTGGACTATCTGGCAGGGAGCTCGGAGGGAGCAAAAACATGGACCGGCTGTGGGTCCCCAAGGACCGGATGGGGAAACACCGATGTCGCATCTTCCTGTCAGGTCCCACGCCATCAGGAAGTGACAGAAACTGGTAGCCAATACCTGAACAAGCTTTGCCATTGAATTTCACACGACTGACTCACGTGCAATCATGTGCATTGCAGGGTGATGCAATCAAGCCCAATCCAATGTCGATGAGATACATCAACAAAAACCACCACACATGGAATAAGAGTGAGGATGCCATGTGTGCTCATGCATCAAATACGACAGCTTCAGCTTGGCTGTGACTAGACCAGGTCATGCTTTGTACATGCTTTCAATTTTTGGAATGCTGGTTTTGAGAAATCGGTTGTGGGATGGTCACTCCTCAAGCCTTGTAAGCTTCTGCTTACAAATTGTCTGTCAAGTGCTTTGAGTTATCATGCTAATGAGATCAAATGTCTGAAACTATCCCTTTTCATGCTATCACTATGTGGCACTGGTTCAGTTTTGGGCAGATCTTTTTCGAAATTTGGTCACTTCCAGTTTGTCACCCCTACAATGTGCAGGCCAAGATTGAAAAAGTTCTGTGAAATACGTTTAGAGTTGCTGTTTTCAAAACACCAAGATTCTTCTACATTTGCCATTTCCTTCCTTTGCTGCCACACAGATCGGCCGCTTATTTCTCAGGAAATTTATCTGAAGCTGAAATCAGGCGTCGATCTTCATCTGTATAATGTTGTTGTGAATCAATGATGAAATCTGTCAAATACTTTTTGATTTATCACATTCAGAGTGTGAAATGTCACCTGCTTTCACTCCTCCCTTTGCTGCCACAAAGCGGGGTTCCTACAATTTTGGGGTGATCTGTCTCAGAATTTAATCCATTCCTCACATGCAATCCCTCCTCAAAGTTTGAAAAATATCTGTCAAAAATCTTTTGCGTTATCATCTTAACAGTATCAAGAGTCAAAACTGCCCTTTTTTGCCATCACTTTGTTATACGTTACATAGGTTACATACATTGTGTAAATTAAATGAATGCCAACAATAATACTTCCAACACAGAGCATTTAGCGTTACTTTTTGCAGTGAATATTTTAAATCTGTTTTAAACGTAGCTTTACGTATTATTTTTCCATGGCACATTACGGTAGAACAACAAAAAATATATATTGAAAAAACAATACTGACCATTTAAAGCACTTTGTAAAGTGAGATTGAAAAACAGTGACAATGCCTTGATGCCTTTCTATTGTTATAACTAAACAGCAACAATTGACAAAGACAGGAAGCTAATATGGACAGCATTGTGCATTGCTTGGAGGAGTAACAATGTTATGTAAAAGACACAATGGTCAGTTGAAATGAAATGTAATATTGCCATGAATACATTAACAAATCAGCCCTAGCTCGGACTCTGTTTACAAGATTTAGTCATTCTATTGTTCCCTTTTGAACATATACAAAATCTAATCAGCAACACAGTGTATGCGCCGCAGAAGTAGTAAAAGAGTTAAATCATGAAAGGAGAGAGGATTTTAAGTTACACAAATGAGTAGCTCCACATTTTTACTTGTAGTAGGCAAAAGGTTAAGAATCCTCTACATTCATCTACATTCAGGTAATGTCAAAGTGAATGAGTATCAGATTCCCAGTAATTCTGCATTATACGGTAGCCCTGGCATATTAAAATTATATTAATTTGAATCAAAAAGATTCTCGATTTATAGAGCGCCGAGAGAGCCGCCGTCATCGGAGACACGGCAGGGGCCAAACTGATCAGTCAGCGCCACCAAAGACGCGTGGAGAACTTCCTTCCCAGCGCGGGCGGCTAGAGGAAGAGAGGCCTGGGTTTGAGGCTTCCATCCAGCAGAAGGCCAGCAACCGCGCAAAATTACATGAAAAGGAGTCTCTTGGCAAGAGAAAGTCGCGCAGCTTCCTGAGCGCCATATGTCTGTAGGACAATGTGAGAGGTATCACACATTCTCAGCATTACTGAGAAAGTACAACAACAATTTGTAACAGGGTGCACTGAGATAAGCCAGCAGTAACAACACTTAGCACAGCTATTTAGTTTGTTTATATTACATTAGGGATTAAGTCAGTTCTTTTTACTGCACAGACAAAAAAAGACCTGATAGTTATTTCACTACTGTTGTAAAATTATGTTTTTACATTTATGAACCACATGCTGATTTGCTGATTATGGGTGGGCAATACGGCAACAATATTATATCATTTTGTTAGGTAAATGTACCTTTTAGTCTAATTAAGGTACAGAACGTACCCCCAATGGTACAAAAAGTTCCTCAGAGTCCATTTCTGTACCTTAAAAGGTACATTTACCTACAACTAAGGGTACAATTGGCAGACCCTTGAGGGTACAGCCCCAGCAACAAGCAAAGGTGCAAACTTTTTTCTGACAATGTATAAGGCAATAAACCCTAAAAGATAAACATGCTCAGCATCCTCTTTTTGGTGTTTTCTTTTCTCTTGAGGTGGTTAAAATGGTTTGTTGTGTTGCCATCTGATGCAAGAACCTTGTCTTTGCAAATTTTGCAAATAACTTGTTTGCACCGCGTGAGTTTTGGAAAATCCAAGCAAGTTCCATTTTACCAGTGGCAACGTCGCCCATGCTGCTATGTTGGCAAATAGGGAATGTACTGCATGTTGTGCATTGCATGCTGGGACGAGAGTGCAAAAAAGAGAGAGGAAGAAATCCAAGGCACTACCTACTGTTTGCTATTACCGGTTTATTGGTGTGTCAAAATGGATTTGGCTGGCAAAACAAGTTTAGATGCATGTATGAGCCATTGAACTGCGACTGATGCAATGTGCGCTGTAGAACATTACTAATGATCTCTGCATAATGGCAGATCGTAGAGACATTTTAATCGTCCATGATCTAATATCATCAAATCACACACCCCTATTGCTGATCCCATTTCGTTTTTTTTTCTTTTTTTTTTTTATAGAAATGCCCATAATTAACTATACTTCTTTGGTTATGGATCCTTGTTCTGACACAGCAAAATGTCATGGCTGTCTTTGAAAAGCCCGGGGCAGGATTCATTTGAATAGGCACAGCGTGTTCAGGATGGGCTAATTCATGTTTTCCTGGCTTTTATCTCCTTGTTCTGAACATAGTTTGATTGGGGGGAATCTGGAAATGCCACCTTCAGAGAAACCTACCACCAGCCACTCAAGTTGCCAGGGCGATGGCTTTTTGGGAGACTAGAGACAAAACAAAAGGGGGGGGGGGCATCCTTCATGCTCACTTAATTGGAGGTTGCCTGTTCCAGAAAGCGTGATTAAGGGGAAGCTTGAGGGGATTACACGTCAGCCCATTTAAATGGATGAGCACAGTTTATCTACAGACAGACAGAAGGGCAGTCTCTATCAGCGGGATGCTGTCAGGAAGGGTTCTGAAAATGCACCGTGTCAAAACTCTCACTGAATTTAAGTCTGATGTTTGACAGAGAAGCAAAATGACATGGAAATTAAAAGATGAAAATAATTTATACCGATTCCTTCCTAGTATTCTGTGGTATTCCATCCATTCAGCCAAGGAAGCATATGGGAACGCACTGGACTGAATGTCAGTACAGGCTTAATATTAATCATTTACAAATATATACAAATGTCTGTTAAAAGCATATTGAGGTATTTTCAAAAATGAAACCTCAAGTTTTTGGGAAGAAAATCAATCTGCCCTATAAATTCAATCAACGTATATTTTTTCGGCTTGTGAATTTAGCATTGACAGTGGGTGAGTACAGAATACAAAGATCACATCAATCCAGGTGATTTATGGGAAGTCAGCAACGGGTCAGGAATATTCAAATATTTATTTGAATATTTCTGTCTTCACAATGTTAGAACACACCTTCTCTAAGCATGCTTCCAAGTTTGCTAATCAGTTCAATGCTGATTTTCTAGGGTACCTTACATCTGGTATCAGTTATCTGGCTAAGCAAGAAATCCAGCTTCGTGATGCAGCCCCCTGTTCTTTGCCTAGTTCAGGGCACCCAAGTTTAAATGGACTTTGTCTTCATTCACTTACATCTAGCCCAGACTACCTTAAATCCGTTATCAGTTATCTGGCTAAGCAAGAAATCCAGCTTCGTGATGCAGCCCCCTGTTCTTTGCCTAGTTCAGGGCACCCAAGTTTAAATGGACTTTGTCTTCATTCACTTACATCTAGCCCAGACTACCTTAAATCCGTTATCAGTTATCTGGCTAAGCAAGAAATCCAGCTTCGTGATGCAGCCCCCTGTTCTTTGCCTAGTTCAGGGCACTTTGTCTTTGTTCACTTACATCTAGCCCAGACTACCTTAAATCCGACAACTTATCGACCAATCACGTCCCGTGTTTACACGAAGTCAGCCAACAGCGTGCCAGATAGACTGTTGAGGACAGGTTTACAACAGACAGGAACAAACACATATGATTTTAGGGTTTACAGACATATAACACTTTACCTGCAGAAAAATTAGCAGAACCTAACTGGTCCACTAATGGTTTTCAGAGTTAGTGGAAACGTTAATCCGCTATCAAATAAGTTAACTAATTAGTGGTTAGGGGATTAATTGAACCCTGCCCACCACTGACTGACAGAAACTGTGAAATATTCGGACTGCTTATGGTACAATTCACCAGATGCACATTGTGACTCCAAATCTGGTTAGCAGAGTGTGCGCATGCTACTGTATTGGCAAATCATGGAGGCAGCGGAGAAAGGGACAGTTTTGGGCAATTGATTCCTCAGGGATGGAGATACACATCCCTAGTAAGCACTGCTTCACACTCTTGGGGGCACCTTTAGCAGAAATGTGTTTTTAAAATAAGTCTGTTTAATCCTTAGAGTGACTTCTGCCTATGTTGCTTTTTCACAGTGCTGAAGGGTTAGCAATATGTTTTGATATATTTCCACAGATTCTAAACAAGACCAAAGGATGGGCTGTAACCTTGGAATATTCTTTTTATTCCCAATCACTCCAAAGCAGCTTTAGTCATACTTGGAATCACGGGATCATACCATTCTGCCCAAATAAAAAAGCCTTTATCTTAGTATTTCACTATAGTTTATTCTCCATATTCTCTATAATTTATGATTACTGTTTCCTACAAAGCGTTTATGTCCCTGCTGCGGACACAGCTTAACGGTAAGGATGGTGTCGATAAGGTGATGGGTGTACAGTCAGTTCTAAATTTATTGCTTGACATTTAGACCAAGATGCTTCAATGTGGCCTCTTACAACCGACAATTTTGCTGCCTTTCCTTCAAGTCCTTGCTACCGATGTCATGCTGGTTTTCAAAAAGAATTTGTTATTTACAGTCCTCCATCCTCCCAGCCACGTAGATTAGCTTTGTGAAAATTTTGGATAAATATTGATTGTCGTAGTACTACATGCTTCCTCATTCCCAACGTTCTCTACAAGTCTGTGTAACTAGGGCCTCGTCTGAGTGGTGAGACGGTGAAATGCTTTGGAGAAAATGCAGCAATCCGAAGAGTAAGGTCACAGCAACAACCAGAATTAATTAAGAACAGGGAAATAAATGTTGCTGGAGTAGCCGGTGCGTTACAATCGACTGGGAATTAATTAACCTTAATGAACCTGGCATGCTGACCTTAACCACATACCCAAAAATGACACGAACTTATACAGAAAATATGACCCATATAGACAAACACATTATATTTTTACATTTATTATCACAAACCTGACTCATACAAACAAGGGCGTAACTTTGGCTGGAACATTGGGGAAGTTGAGGTCTCCACCCATTATGGGGGAAACATGATTATTGGGGGGGGTTGTATTAGCTGGTTTTGATTTATTGAGGGGGCTACAACCCCCCCGTAATTTACGCCCATGCATACAAATTACATAGTCATTATTCACTTAAAAAATGTAATCAATATGCATTTTCTATCTTCACAATTTTGCAGCACACTATCTCTGAACATGATTTCAAATTTTGGGTTACAGGTTTAATGCTGATGTTCCAAAATTAGAACTATCTGGAACAGCAGTGGTTAATTTTTTTCCCAATTTAAACATTTATTCATTTTGACTGCAGTTTGAATACAGTTTTTTCGGATGTCAAAAAACTTGCAGTCATAAAATGGTTTAGATCAGGATTTCAATATTATATAATATTTTTACTGTTAGTAAATCAGTATTTACGATTACGATTCAGTCAATCTGCCTGAGTTACAAACGCCTGTATGCGCTGTGAATAGGTTTTATGCAATAAACCTAAAACTTAATTCGCTGAAATGCTGGATAACCGAAACGTAAAATAAACGACTTAGCAAAACTCGCATAAAGTACTATTCGCACGTTAAGGTAACAGCAACTGAATATGACACTTAACTCCCACTGACCCGTATTGAAAATGTTCAGTAGCGCTGATCCACCACGTTAACTATTAACTATTATGAGTTAGATTCCTAATGGTATTTATACCTATATTAGACCTAAAAAAAAACTCAAACGTGCGTAATTTAATATTCGAAAAATATGTAGGCCGATTCAATTCAACAAAGCTGATTCTTTGAACTTCACCCAATACGTGCTTATGCCTTATATTTTACTCACTTGCGTTACCCAAGTTTTTAGTTAGAATGAGAAACAAGAAAAAAAAATCATTAGATAACATATAACGAATAATACATTTCATGATGTCCGATGCATGAGTAAAAAAGTTTGCATGCTTTTTACTCTTTATTTCGTGAAGCACTTGTAATGGGCGGACCGCTTGACAGCAGCTATTTAAAATGACAGAAGCATAGACTGTTGCCTGAGTTTGACATAATTTTTATCCTCGCATCTCCCACTTCCCCAGATCAAAAGATTATTCCTGAGTGCTGCCGGAAATCACTACAACAGCTCCCGCTAACACCTAATTAAAGTCTGCTTTTAGCCTATTTCTGAAATAATTTGATTAAAGTATAGATCGTGGATACACGGCTGTCAAGGAATACGTCTATATGATAAAGTCCGCCGCAAAACATGCGTAATATAACAAAAAAAAATCATAATTAATCTCACTCTGGCCCTCGAATTTTCGGATGATTGTGTCCAGGAAAGTGTTCTGCGGAGCCACGTGTCCACGTCGGACCGGCATCCTGACCGGAGGCGCCGGGACTGAGGAGACGAGGCCAAGCTGTCCGTTACCAGCGATGTCACCCGGTGGGCCACCGCGCCTTCCTCACACCGATTATAATTCCCGAGCAAAGAAACTTCCGATCGCACAGGCAGACAGACCAGCCTGAGGTACCGCTGCTTCTGCAACGACAGAGATCGAAACAGTTTCCAGTATCCAGCATCAAGCGCTGCCTTAGTTTTATTATCAAGACGTCACAACGTAAAAGTAAATACAGTCGGGAGCCCCTTCCTTCAATTTACTACAGCGGCAATATGGTTACATCGTGCAAGGAAAAATGTGGGGCATGCTGAGATATAATGGATTTATCATTATGGCGCTTCCTTCCTCTTTGTCCCGTCGTCTGCCTCCATCGGCTCCCCATGTAACGCGCTGCGAAGTGCGAGCGTCTCTCTAGTTTAGATCATCTGCCGGAGCTCCGCGAGCCTCGGCTGCACCTGTTTAACTCTTGCTGCACCGAAATAGTAAACTGATACTAACCAGTGCTTTCTTTATTTTACTTTGACCGTATTTGAACTACTCTTATGCCTATAGAACATAATGTGACAATTTAACTAAGTTAATTATTAATCCCAGATGATGTCACTCATATATGTACAGTAGTGGAAAGAACAGTCGAGAGAATGTACAAATAAGCACTGTTTGTCATACTGTTAAAGAACGATATATATACGATATATACAGAGAGAGAGAAGCCTAATTTAAAATACATTCCTGTTTTAAATACCTATTTTTTTTACTTACAATTGCCCTTAAATAATCTATTTTGTATTATTGTGTGTATGGCGTGTCGGGAGACAAACTGTACTGCACGGGTTTTACATTTTTTCAAGCTTATTTGAAACATTTCATTCTGTCTAGATAGGTGGTGCAATTATGTACCATGCATATTATTAGTTAATCACAGGTACAAGAATTAACATGCATACATACTAGAGTAAAGTTAGCCTCATGTTCAAAATCCAGTTTTCTACTTGTAATAGGCTTATATTTTATTGGGATGTGGTCTATTGAGTTCTTGCATTAGAGTACATTGAACTCATTGTCACGTTCACCAAACCAGTCAGAGATGATATGAGCTTTGTGGCACGGCATATTTTCTGCTGGAAGTAGCCATTAGAAGCTGGGTACACTGTGGTCATAAAGGGATGGACATGGTCAGCAACAATACTCAGGTAGGCTGTGGTCATAAAGGGATGGACATGGTCAGCAACAATACTCAGGTAGGCTGTGGTCATAAAGGGATGGACATGGTCAGCAACAATACTGCAGCATTTAAACGATGCTCGACTGGTACTATGGGGCCTAGAGTGTGGCAAGAAAATATCCCCCACACCATTACACCAGCAGCAGCAGCAGCTGGAATTGTTGATACAAGGCAGGATGGATGGATGCTTTCACGTTGTTTACACCAAATTCTGACCCTACCATCTGAATTTTGCAGCAGAAATCGAGATTCATCTGACCAGGCAATGTGTTTCCAATCTTTCATTGTCCAATTCTGGACACCGAGTGTCAACTGTAGCCTCAGTTTTCTGTTCTTAGCTGACAGGAGAGGCACCCGGTGTGGTCTTCTGTTGTGGAACCCCCTCTGTTTCAAGGTTCAACGTGTTGTGCATTCAGAGATGCTCTGCTGCTTACAGTACCTTGGTTGTAATGAGTGGTTATTTCAGTTACTGTTGCCTTTCTATTAGATTGAACCAGTCTGGCCATTCTTCTCTGAATCCTGCCATCAATAAGGATGTTTTTGTCCTTTTCAGCCCATTTTCTCATAGAGATAGCTGTAAGTGAAAATTCCAATAGATCAGCAGTTTCTAAAATGCGCACACCAGCCTGTCTGGCACCATCAACCATGCCACATTCAAAGTCACTTTAATAACCTTTCTCCCCCCTTCTAGCGTTTGATGTGAACATGAGCTGAAGCTCCTGACCTGCATCTGCATGATTTTATACATTGTGCTTCTGACCTAGGAGTGGCTGACTAGGTATTGATTCAACGAGCAGTTGAACAGGTGTACCTAATAAAGTGGCCAGTGAGTGCAAACATAATCTCAGTTTCAGTGTGATAGGAAAATATGATGCAACAGACTGTAAAAGCAAAACTTAATCTAGGGAACTTAGCTTATTAAGAATAAAGATGCGTGCAATTAGGGGTCTGTGTTCATGGCCAGCAGAGCAATCACATCACTGGCTTTTAACTCTTAACTTGTACAAAGGTGCATAAAATATCATCATAAAAGATGCGTATCAGCAATTGTTTTAGGCTTACAGAAATTGTCATACTGTATGTCCATCCATCCATCTATCCATCCATCCATCTACATAACCTCTTAGACCTATTGCAGGCAGTATAGGTCACAAGGAAGTAGAACACCTTGAATGAGATACCACTTACGGTATCATGGGTGTTCCATTTGAACTCGGAAGTCGGAATTTCCAAGTTCCTAGTTAGGAATTTCAACTGGAACACCCATGAAGTTGAAATTCCAACTCAGAATGTCAGAATAACCTCTACAACCACAACCTCAGAATTCAAGATGGCTGTGCCCTTCATCAGCAGAAGTGAACGCTGTACTTATATACTGTTCATTAGCAGTTATGTGTTATTTGTGTCTTATTAAATCGGTCGTACACCCAGTATTGTCCAACCGCTATTTGTGGACATGTTGCTATGGTATTTTTATGGTATTGCTAACAATGTCTAATAATGAACCTAGCTATAACTGGTATTGTTAAGTGGCTTTCCGACTTGTTATACTGGAACGCGATTAGCTCGGGTATGACGTCATTCCCAGCTCCGACTTCTGACAAATGCTGTGTTTCATGCAGTGTTTAAACTGTTAAATCCAGTTCCTATCTGGACTCAAGTTTTGTTCGTTTCAAGAAGGACAAGTAGTCAAATACCAAGGCATATTGAGATTCTCCAGGAGGTTAACAAAACCAGGAAAATTCAATACCACTTCCCGCCACAAGGTGGAGGAAATTTAGGTTTTGTAGAGTAATATCTCCTATGTACCCAGCAAAGATGTGTAAAAAAAGGTAGAGGTGTGAAAGGTAGAGGTAGGAATAGAGGTAGAGGTGTGAAACTACCATTGCCATTTTAAAGACAACAAAGTGAATCATGACTCTACCTTCATTAATTTCACTGCCTGTCTCTTCTACCCACCTGCAATACTACAATATATAATAGCCTGATATTTAATCTATTTTACTGTTACATTTTATTTCTATGTTTTTGTTAGTCCAAGTAAGTCCTTATGGTAAATATCAGAGTAATATTTTTTTAGTAGGAAACCCATTTATACTGTGCATAAAAAATTAAAATAATATATTTATTGAGGCTTACTAAATAATAATATTCATTCGTTTATTTCTATTTAAATATGATGTAATTTCTGCTATAAAAAATGTTATGTGTTATATTTTCTTTGCTGCAATGCGTAGGATAGAAGAAATTTAATATTCTTTCTAAAGATGTGGTGATTTTAATTCACTCTCCTTGTCGATGCTCATTAAGAAATCACTCATAAAAAGGCAAGAGACCATCTTTGCAGTTAAACTCTTTTGTAACTATTGTGTAGTAACATTGGGTGCCTTTTTAGCAGAGAAACTTTTCTGCCTAATTCCCTGCAAATGCAGTTAATGGCCTGAAACAATTAAAAGTAATTCAGTAGCCCCCCCCCCCAAAAAAAAAAAAAAAAGTTGGAAAATTCGGTACCTCACCAAATTTTATATTACTTTCTTTGTAAATGTACCTCCCACTGTAAAAGAGTAAGAGTTGGATACTCCCGCCATATATATCCATGCCGCTAGATGGCGCCCAATGCATTGTACGATCAGTCGCACTAGGTGTTTTTCTTCAACTTTGCGATATTTCGCACTATTTTTGCAATACACGTATATTCATAATTCGTACTGTATGTGATCAAAGTACAAAGGGTAGAATAAATGGACTAATAGCTATAAAAATTAAGTTATATGGATATCTCTAATAATGTGTGTTTCAAGCAATAGACTATGGGGACGATGCACACCATTAAACATACCAGATTAAGTATGTTCATATGTATTTCTTTAGAATTGTGTTCGTTTTTCCTCACCATGACGGTTACATTAAAAGTACACATATGTTGGAAATTAAATGTGTTAGGCTGTCTGTAATGGAGGTGGCCCACCTTATAATCGAAAAAATTTTATGTGGCCCTGATTGGGCGAAAAAGTTTGCCCACCCCTGCACCGGAGAGCAGCAAGCATGTTTATTATAGTCATGTCTGTGGGTGTTTGAGCAAGGCCTTTATCCCCCAGCTCCCTGGGCGCCCCAAAAGGTGGCTGCCCTTCACAGACAGCTTGTTCTACAAAGAGCAAGTTGATGGAGGCGTAAAAAGTCTTTCCCCATCAGGGACAATAAAGGTTAAATTGAAATTGATATATGTGTGATTCCTGTTTTGGGCCACATATTCATGTCCTCGTGTTTAACTGGCACTTATTCTTTTATAAAATTAGATAAATCTTTATAACGAACCTATTTTATTATGTGTTTAGGTGTTTTCTATTGCTCTAACAAAGATAAATTATTATTTGTATTTTTTTACATCTCTTTAAAGCACCATTTCTCTGGAATATGCGCTCATTTTAGCATGTCCCAAATGCAATGTATTGAACTTCCTCAGTAAATATAAACTATAAAATTATAAAAACCAAAACCTATTCTTTTTTATTTTGATAGACTAGGGTATACTACCTTTAGAGAGAGAAACAAATCTGATTAAACTTATTTTGTTTTCTGTAATTACATAATATATTATATGTCCCCGCATTTGTTTTCCACTCTGTTAGTCTCTAGTTTCTTGGCTCCTTAAAAAGATTACAAATCCATACAGCCATTTCCAGGAAGTGACATCATTTGTTTTTTGGGGGAAATTCAACTGGAAGACTAAGGTAAGCTTTAACTGTCACTCTCAACTGTATTTTTCTCAATTTTATCAATTTTATATTACACACCGGTTTGAGGCACCCTTAAAGCTCCACCCTGTTAGTATATATTATGGGAAATATTTATTGGTAAAAATATTTTTTAAAACATGTTAAAAATAGCTATTTAAATGCTGATCAGCTGTAGAGTGTGTGCTAGCTAAATGTTGCTCACTCAAAGAGCTAGAGCTAAATTAGCTAGAAATATTCCACCCTGTTAAGTTCCACCCTGTTAGGCTATGTAGGGATATGCAGCCTACTGAGTAGAAATTCTACAAGAATATTTATTATTTTCATTAAAATGACTTGTAGATTTATTATTTGAGTGTATTTCTTGCGTATGATAATGAATAATAATGGTATAATCAAAAAGTATTATTATTATTATATGAGTGTATTTCTTAATTATTTATGTTACTACAGTGGTATTATTATTATTATTATTATTATTATTATTATTAGTTGTAGTAGTAGTATTGTTGTTGTGAATCTGAATCTACTTGTTAAGAGGCCGACTCAGTTCCACCCTGTTATATTCTATTCCACCCTGTTAGGCAATGATTTAAAAAAATATTCTAATCACAGCAGTAAGTGTTTGGTATATTTGTATATTGTTTTGTTAAATGAGGTACATATAATGGATCTACATATACTTTTATTTCTAAGTAATAAAATTCCTCATACAAGACAAGAAAATGGGGACAAAAAGTGCACAGATTCCATTATTCTGACATTGTACTCTTCATCAAATTAAAACTGTTAACGCTACAAGAATGAAACTTTTATCATAGCAAAAGGGACACATTGTATCCCAGAAAAGTTCAGTATTGTTTGACTTGTACATTATTTAAACTCTGTGATTACCATGCACATGTCCCTAACAGGGTGTAAAACGTCTGGAGAAATATATACAAAAAACATCCCACAATTATAATATAATAATAATAATTGCCTGAGCTTGGCAAACATGCATTCCTCATAGCTAAGTATGGTATAGTCCTGACAAAATGTTTAAACCATAAAATACAATCATTCCAATTTTCAGAAAAGACAGCCAAATATGTGGTCCAAAACAGGAATCACCCATATGTGTCTGTGTATCATGGAGTGCAAGATGGAGGAGGTGCAAAGAGAATTTCTCCATGAGGATCAATAAAAGCAACATCATTTGATTTTTTTTTTATCTCACAGTTACAGAGTGTTGAAGTTGTAAGCTGCCTAGGCCACTTTGTACGAAATATCCGCAAAAACGAATCTTTGAACACAACGCTGGGAGAACATACAAACTGTACAAACATCGACGGCTTATCATACAATAAATAGAAGCTGCACTGACCCCTGTCTCGCGCACAGTCAGAAGGGGCGGGGCGGAAAAGTCTGACTTCCGCCTTAGGAACCAGGTGCATGGTGGGAATTGTGCAAGTACCCTTTTAGCTCGCTAGCTGTTCTCGTGCTGTGTAAGTCCTCATTTTATCTGTAATGTACGTTATCAGTGACAGTACGACCGGTTTTATACATTTCCCAGTTAAAGTGGCCCTGTGGTAAACATTTATTTGCAACACGTAGCTACGAAATACCAAAAAAGCGAAGAAACTGCAGTTCAACCAGTATCACTGGCATTAAGGTAAGCAATGAATGACAGTCAGCTTTCGCGTCGCTGTGAAAAGCTATACATCCAACAACGATTTTTCCATGTTAGTCACCCGTTTTTGTAGTAACATTACTCTTGTATGTCTCATACTGCTACAGGACCAGTTGCAGGTGTTGCTGATTATATTATAACTGATGATGTTGCTAACAATTAGCACTGCAAATGGCCATTATTATTATTATTAATAGCATTGTTTAATTGTGTTATGTTCAAAAACTTAGTTTTGTGGGTCAGGAGACATGAAAATGTATCGTGAAGGTTGCTAGTTTTATATAATGCAATCAGAATAATTATATTTTGAAATACCATTGATAAATAGAATTCGACTATTGTAAAATTCAGTTAAACAAATTAGGAATATAATACATGGAAAATGTAATAATCATTATTGAAAAGTGGAATTTCCATTGAAAAACAAACTGGCTTCAGTTAATCCGTGTATCTGCAGAGTTTTTACAGTCATTAATCCATTAACAGCACAATAAAATGGTAAAATGATCACATCATTTGGGTATTTTCCTAGGAAAAAAATCTTACTCATTCCATTTGACAAACTTTAAAGGAGAACTTCTTTAGATAGAGCTGACTTCATGAGTTAGGAATAGCCAGAATGCAAGTAGTACTTATTTTGCACAGGACTTGCAGACATTTTTATTTACTGTTTCGCCAACAGCAGAAACTGTTATATCTTTAGATGTGTTTTAACTTTCAAAGTGTTTTGAATCGTATGTGGTTGCCTGCATAGTGTTGTGAGACGCTCTTCCATATAATTGGATGTGATGCCATTGCGGGGTATGTGTATTGTAATGTATCTTTTATCAATCCGTCTCTTCCACTAGCGATGGCTGAGGTGGAGCTGTCCTGTGTGGCCTATGTGAAGATGTACTTGCACGCTTCCCTGTTCCCACACTGTAGCGTGAATGGGCTGCTCCTCTCCTCCAGCCCACCAGGGGGCGATGTGTGCATTAGTGATTGCGTTCCACTTTTACACTCGCACCTCCCACTGGCCCCTATCACGCAGCTCGCCCTAACGCAGGTAGGCTGGCACAGTGCCTATCACGTCTGCGTTTTGATAATGAATAATGAGAGACACACTTTCATGGATACTTTTATTGCTACAGATGGTTGTATTTATGTTGCATGCTAGACAGTATGCAAATAAAAATCTAAATAATAATATTCAGTGTCACTTAGAACAATGTAGACTTGTGGTTTTTAAATGAAGTGGGGTTTAAATTGTAAATTGTTAAATGTAAATTTGATGAATACTTTTTTCTACATTTTAAGCATTGCATTTCATAATGGGTATAGTTAGTGGTGGGCAGGGCTCTGCTAACCACTTATTGGTGAAGATGCCTTTTTCGTAAGTGGATTAGTGTTTGTGTTAACTTTGAAAGGCTGTTATGGACATTTTTTTCACAGGTGAAGTGAATAATGTTGGACAATCAAAAACATTTGTAAACTCTTAAATCATACATATTTCTTCCTGTCTCTTGAGTCTGTCCACAACAGTCTATCTGGCACGCTGTTGGCTGACGACATGTAAACACAAGACTGATTGGTCAATAACTTGTCGAATTTAAGGTTGTCTGGGCTAACTGTAAGGTAACAAAGATAAAGTCCATTTAAACTGGCGTGCCCTGAACTAAGTGGTGAACAGGGGGCTGTATCACAAAGCTGGATTTCTTGCTTATCCAGATAACTTGTCAGATTTAAGGTACTCTCGTTTGTTCACTTACATTAAACCTTAGACTACTTTAAATCTGACAAGTTATTCAGCTAAACAAGAAACCCTGCTTCGTGATAAAGGCCCCTGATTGTGTTTTGATTCTGGTTCTGATTGACAGAGCTATAGACCGATAAAGTGTGGAGATTGTCCTTCCTAGTTCTGGGTAAATCGCATCATGTTTGTTGTCCCCAAGCGGCTTCAATGAGAGTAAAATGTTAGCATGGGCTAGTTGCAAAATAGGGCTTCGTTGAGAAAAACTCGCAGGAATATCACAGAAAGAAAATTTCAGCGCAGATTTATTCTAGAGACTCCACTGAATGGTAAAGATCCCCTGGTAATCAGTCTAGTGTGACGAATGGGACTTTAGTGTTAAACAGTTTAAAATTTCATCTTTCTAGGTATGTTTTTACAGGTTTCAGAGCCGAAAACGAAAGCTAAATTCATATAAAGTTAAGTCATTGTTAGCTTCTGCTAGTTTTTTTTAGTAGTTTATGAGTTTGGCATTATCAGATTAAACTTTTGAGTTAGCAGATTAGTGGTTATCGTAGCTAACTTTTCAGTTAGCTGTGGCCACCACTGGGTATAGTTAACTGAGTACCTATTTTAGGGCTTTAACGGATTTACTAAGTAGAGTATAATTATAGTTCTAGGTCAGGGGTATCAAACTGCAGTCCCGGAGGGCCGGAGCCCTGTGTAGCTTAGTTCTTTCCCTGTTCCACCACAAATGATTCGGCTCAACAGCTATGTGGTAATTAGCACAAGGAGTTGAATGAGGTGTGTTAAATGAGGGGAAACCTAAATATGTGCAGGGATCCAACCCTCCAGGACTGGAATCTGAAGTGAACATGGAAATTCATGTAATTCAGGTAATTCATACTTTAAAAAAAAAAAGTTTTCCTTGTTTAATGATATCTCAGAATGTGTTTTTTATTCTAGGTGGACATATGGTGCATGCAGACAGACAAGAGGATTGTGGGATACTACCAAGCTAACGCCAGCATATCGGACTGCAGGTGGTTTCATCGAATCTCCCCACATACTGCAGTTTACGCTCTTTGTGTTTCGAATGACAGTGTGCTTTGCGCATCTCTCTACGCCGCTTTCACTTTTTCATTTACTCTTCTGTTGGTTATCAGACAGCTGTTTCTTCCTCTCAGTATGTGATCCCTGGTATGCCTGCATAGCGCTGTAAGCTTCTCCTCTTATTGCTCCTGTCTGTCTCTCTCTCCCCGTCTCTCTCGGCAGTCCTACCCCCAGTGCGCTGAAAGTGGCTGATCGCATCTGGGAGCAGTGCAATCAGGCTGTGCTGTTAATGGTGAGAGAACCAGCAAGGGCCACGTGTTGTCATGAATGTGGAACTGCACACGCTTTCAGTCCTTCACTGTAGATCTGTCACGAGGGCTACAAATATGAATATAGGAGTCACATGTGATTGTAGAATTGAATTAAACTATAGAGAGTGCCATGTTAAAATTCATACCTTATATTTTTGATTGTTATAGTAAAATATAAAGGGAGCCCACAAAAGAAATAATGATTCCGGCATTCTTCATCTTTCATGTATTTGGTGTGGTGTGGTTTAAGCTGGCAGTATGCGTAGGTCCCAGGATGTTCCCACTGCAGCTGGGGAGATTTAATTCCACCAGCATGTTCTTGGTCTGCCTACTTCAGTGTCCTCTGTCCAGTTGGAGATGCCCAGAACAGATCCTTTGGTAGCTGACCAGGTGACATCCTTATGAGATACGTCAGTGGACATTTCTTGATCTGAAGGAGCAGTAGCTGCATTGTAAGGTCTCTCCGAGGCTCAGTGAGCCCAGCAACACTGTGGAGAAATCACTTGTACATAGACCCTTTTGTTTTAGTCATTACCTCATGAACATTAGGATTGGGATATAGATTGACTAGTAAACTTCCCCACTAAAAAGTGCTTTCCCACTGCAAGAACGTTTTACAGGAACCTGT